ATGAGGAATCAGGAACAAAGGGCAGGGATTTGTAGGAGGTCCTGGGTTCAGGCACAGGGCAGGGTGCAGGAGGGGGGCGGTATTTGAGGACCCATGGTTTGGCTGATTTGCGTCTCAGTTATAGGTCTTGGGCTGGGACGGTGTAGCCAGGATGTACTTGGGATTGAGTAGGAAAGAGGGATGGATGGTCTCAAGCAGCTTTGTAACGGTGACAGGTTGGGGGCGGGGTGGTGGTATTGGTCTTTGGGCGGTATCACTGTAAGTACCAGAACTCTCCTTTCAGAGAGAGGGAACCTGACACCTTTATGAGGATTTTGGTCTGACATTTCACGTCTTCTATCCTCAGAAGGCTTTGCAAGGCCTGAATCTCTTGTAGGCCTTTGCGTGGTAAGAGGTCTGTGAACTTGTCTTATTCAAGAGAGGGGAGGTCACCAAGGCGTGGCTTCTGAAGAAGCTGTGCTTGAACAGTATTTCTAGTCCCTGATTTGCTTTCTGTCTGTGCCAGCGAGCAAACGTTCTTTGTGCTTGGATGCCGCAATAGCCAGAGTTCCCTTCTCTGCTGGACAGAACCTGCTGCGAGTGGAGGAGGAATCGAGCCCAGTGGGGGTTTTCAAGGTGGAGGAGCTCTTCTGAGTGTCCACCTGGGGAAGGTTCTAGTAGACAGAACAGCAAGTGGGAGGTCTCTGCCAAAGTCTTGAGACTTTGTTAATCAGGTCACAAGCTGATAGGAGGGAGTGGTTGTCTGGGTCAGGCTTGGGGCAGAGTATTTTGAAAGGAAGGATTTGGTCTTAAAGGCCTGTGCTTTTCCCTGGGCATTGCTGCAGGGCCCTTGAGTTTTCCTAGCAGACAGTCCAGGCTTGCAGGACAGGCAGGAAGTGAGGCCTCAAGTTCTGTTTACTACTTGAGGTGGAGATAGCTGAGGATGAGCTTCAGACTCACGGTTTCTATTCCCCAGGGCCAGCCAAGTCAAGGGATGGTGAGCGTACAGTGTACTGCAACGTGCACAAGCACGAGCCTCTCGTGCTGTTCTGCGAGAGCTGTGACACCCTCACCTGCCGGGACTGCCAGCTCAATGCCCATAAGGACCACCAGTGAGTACTGAGGATGCTGGTGGGTGCTGCCTGTTCGTTCTCATGTTCAGCACCCAGGCCCACTTTTGTCTGCTCTCAGATATCAGTTCCTGGAAGATGCAGTGAGGAACCAGCGCAAGCTCCTGGCCTCGCTGGTGAAACGCCTCGGGGACAAGCATGCAACGCTGCAGAAGAACACCAAGGAGGTTCGCAGCTCGTAAGTGTGGAAGCCAGGGCCATAGTTGGGGGCAGTCCTGGGGGAGCATGTTCCTGACCTGATTCACCCTGCGCCCCCCCTCCAGGATCCGCCAGGTGTCTGATGTACAGAAGCGTGTGCAGGTGGATGTTAAGATGGCCATCTTGCAGATCATGAAGGAACTGAACAAGCGGGGACGTGTGCTGGTCAACGATGCCCAGGTACACCCTGTTTGGGTGGGGAAGGGATTCTGGGTCCCATCTGCTGGCTGCAGACCCCATCTATGGTGGGAGGGTCTTGGGCACTGGCATCCTCTGCTGGCTATTGATGCCATCCTTGGTGTCTGCTTTCCTTCATTGCTTTCTCCGCTCTACCTGCAGAAGGTGACTGAAGGGCAGCAGGAGCGCCTGGAGCGACAACACTGGACCATGACCAAGATCCAGAAGCACCAGGAACATATCCTGCGCTTTGCCTCATGGGCTCTGGAGAGTGACAACAACACGGCCCTGCTGCTCTCCAAGAAGCTGGTGTGTGCTGGTGGGCACCCAGGTGGTGGGTTCCAGGCAGGTGCTGCTCAGCACCCTGCAGCCTTGTTTGTTTTCTGTGTGTTCATGTACTACTCCATCTCCAGATCTACTTCCAGCTGCATCGGGCCCTCAAGATGATTGTGGACCCTGTGGAGCCACATGGCGAGATGAAGTTCCAGTGGGACCTCAATGCCTGGACCAAGAGTGCAGAGGCTTTTGGTGTGTCCTTTTTTTATCCTGCTGCATATTGCTACTATTCCAGACCTTGGGTCATCTCCTGCTGATTTTACTTCGTTTTTGTAGGCAAGATCGTGGCAGAGCGTCCTGGCACCAACTCAACAGGCCCTACGTCCATGGCCCCTCCTCGGGCTCCAGGGCCCTTGAGCAAGCAGGGCTCTGGCAGCAGCCAGGTGAGCGGGGGGCGGGGGAACCCTGGTAGGGAGCGGGGGCGGGGCACGGGGTCCTATGGGACACCTGCCCACTGAGGACCACCTACTTTGCCCACAGCCCATGGAGGTGCAGGAAGGCTATGGCTTTGGCTCAGGTGAGTGCCTTGTAGGTGGGAGAGCTTCAGTGCTCTAGGTTTATCCCTAACTTGCTGTCTCTTTTTACGTTTTCTGAGCAGACGATCCTTATTCGAGTGCAGAGCCCCATGTGTCAGGCGTGAAGCGGTGAGTTTGGCTATCCTTTAGTGGAGCCAGGTGGGATTAGGGATGGGTGTGCTGACCCTGTGCTGCACCTGCACCCACAGGTCCCGCTCAGGTGAGGGCGAGGTGAGTGGCCTCATGCGCAAGGTGCCACGGGTGAGCCTCGAGCGCTTGGACCTGGATCTCACGGCTGATAGTCAGCCACCAGTTTTCAAGGTCTTCCCAGGCAGCACCACTGAGGATTATAATCTCATCGTCATTGAGCGTGGTGCTGCAGCTGCTGCAGCTGGACAGCCTGGGACTGCTCCGCCCGGGGCCCCTGGGGCCCCGCCTCTGCCTGGTATGGCCATAGTCAAGGTGAGCCTGCCTCAGGTGATCGTGAGTGGGAGACGGAACACCCAGATCTGCACCCTGCTGAGCGCCTTATTACCTTGTTACGTCCTTGCAGGAAGAAGAGACAGAGGCTGCCATCGGAGCCCCGCCTGCTGCCACTGAGGGCCCTGAGACCAAGCCTGTGCTGATGGCCCTGGCGGAGGGTCCTGGTGCTGAGGGCCCACGCCTGGCCTCACCCAGTGGCAGCACCAGTTCAGGGCTGGAGGTGGTGGCTCCAGAGGGCAGTTCAGCCCCAGCAGGTGGCCCGGGTGCCCTGGATGACAGTGCCACCATCTGCCGTGTCTGCCAGAAGCCGGGCGATCTGGTCATGTGCAACCAGTGCGAGTTCTGCTTCCACCTGGACTGCCACCTGCCTGCCCTGCAGGACGTGCCAGGGTGCGAGGCTTGTGTGGGGTCTGTGCAGGGTGGAGGGCTGGGCCAGGTCCTTTGCAGCTCCTCATTCTCCTTCCATCCAGGGAGGAGTGGAGTTGCTCTCTTTGCCATGTGCTACCCGATCTGAAAGAGGAGGATGGCAGCCTGAGCCTGGATGGTGGTGATAGCGCCGGTGTGGTGGCCAAGCTCTCGCCAGCCAACCAGCAGGTGAGGGGGGGGCCCTCCCTGAGGAGTTTGCTCAGCAGCCTTCCCCTCCCTTTGTGGCTCTGATGTCCCCTGTCCTGTCCGTAGAAGTGTGAGCGTGTTTTGCTGGCCCTGTTCTGTCATGAGCCCTGCCGGCCCCTGCACCAGCTGGCTACTGACTCCACTTTCTCCCTGGTGAGTCTTGGGACTTAAAGGGAGGGTATGGGGAGAGAGTGCCTGGCCTCATCTTCAGCTTGTGGCTTTTGTCTGCAGGATCAGCCAGGCGGCACCCTGGACCTAACCCTGATCCGTGCCCGTCTCCAGGAGAAGCTGTCACCCCCCTATAGTTCCCCCCAGGAGTTTGCCCAGGATGTGGGCCGCATGTTTAAGCAGTTCAACAAGCTGACAGAGGTGAGCTTGGGGAGAATGGGGTTGGGGGCAGGGCGAGGGGAGGTGGGAGGAGGGAGAGCTAGGACCCAGCCACTGCTATCTGCCCGGCTTAGGACAAGGCAGACGTGCAGTCCATCATCGGTCTGCAGCGCTTCTTTGAGACTCGCATGAACGAGGCCTTTGGTGACACCAAGTTCTCAGCTGTGCTGGTGGAGCCCCCGCCGCTGAGCCTGCCTGGTGCTGGCCTGAGTGCCCAGGAGCTATCCAGTGGTCCTGGTGATGGCCCTTGAGTCTGTGGCCTCTCAGGCCAACCCGGCCTGACTTTGTTTTCTGTCCTGTCAAATCCCCCCCACCCCCCCAACCTCCCCCTCCGGTGGCCTGGCTCCTACTTCTTGGTGGCCCCATCCCCCAGTCCCTCACGATATGGTTTTTACTTATGTGGATTTAATAAAAACTTCACCAGTTCCTCAGGCCTTTTTTGGGGCTGCGGCGGGGGCGGGGGGGGGGCAGTTGTCCTGGGGCCTGGTCTCTGCAATTCCCTCACCGTGCCCTGGTGGATGGAGTAGGCGTGGGGCACTCGTCTTCAGCCATTTTCGTGTCCAGGGAGTAGGGAAGAGGAGAGCATCCCTCCTGGCCCTTCCAATGTAGAGAGTGCCTCAGATGGATGGGAGGGTCACATGGTGCACATGCTGGCTGGAGGGTTTTGGGTGCCCCTGTAGGTGGTAATGCCCGGGCTGCTCTGGGCAGGCAGGGTGTAGCCCCAGATACATATGCTGCATGGTGGCCATTCTTCCTGAGTACTTTCTGGACTTGGGTGTAACCATTTCTCATAATCAGATGGCACCACAGTGGGCTGGGTGGGCTGAGGATCCCTGGCAGATGAGCCCAGACTTAAGGGTATCTGGGAAGCCCGTGGTCTTGGAGGTGATAGGCACTAGAGGCCAAGGCACTGAGCCAAGGCACTGGAGGCTTTGGGAAGGGTGCTGAAGCAGAGCACACAGATGACCTTAAGCTCCCAAACCCTGAACGTCCTGGAGAGACAACCTGTCAACTCCTGCCACAAACTGGGAAGCAATCCAGCCTTCCTTATCCTACATCCCAGTGGATCTGGCACTCGGTCTTCTGCCATGCATGTCAGTTGCCCTTTTACCAAGCCCTGTATGTGACCTGTGCCAAGGGACCCCAACCTGGCCCACATCAGGCCAGTCAACACAGGCCTAGGAACCATTGTCCAATCGTTTATTACAGAAGAAGTACAGTGAAACTGCTGGGCATCCACTGCCCACCTCCCACCCAGGGTGGTATAGGGCAATCAGTCCCTCCGCAGATTCTTGAGCCGCTCCTCCAGGTCTGCGTCTGCATCTACTAGGGCTGAAGCTGCTGCCTCTGCTTTCTTCCCACTGGCAGCCACACTGAGTGAGCCTCCGGTGGAGGGGAGGTCTACAGGGGGGGGGGTTAGGAGAGTTCCTGTAGAAAGGAATAATGCTGGGAGCAGGGGGGTCAGGGGTTGTTTCTGGACTGTTTGGTGGGACAGGGCCCAAAGTTTGGTGCACTTACTTGACAGCTCGTCTGTCAGGCTCAATCCCAGCTCATCCAGGACCTGGGACACAACAGCGTCACTTGGGAAGAGAGAAGACCTTTGTGAGGGCCAGGCATGTGCATCCATCCCCATCCTCCCCAAACCTGGTGTCCCCTAACCTTTCTTCTTCATCTTCCTCATCACCCATGGCATCATCAATGGCATCGTTCATCATCTCCTCCTTCATGTCCATGATCTCGGCCTGCCGCTCAAATTCCATCATGATCTTCTGGATCTGAGGCAACTTCAGCTGCAAGTGGGGTGTGGGGAGGGTTAGTTGGGGGTTAGTTGGGGGGGAGGGTGGGGGAATAGGAGAGGCGCACCTGTCTGTTCATGGTGCCCATGGCTTTGGTGACCCCTTTCATAGCCTGCGCCATCGAGTTGTTAGACTTCAGTGTCTGGATCTTCAGGGACACAGCCTGGATGTTGGCCCGCATCAACACAAATTTGCGCACATAACGCCGAGTGCGCACCAGGTCTTTTGCCATGATACGCACAGCATCCTGAGAAGTGGACAAACGTGACAGGGAGTGGGCCAAGGGAACATGCTTGCTCCCATTGCACCATTCCAGCTGATGCTTTCAGAGATTTACATGTGGTCACTGCCCCCTCCCTCCTCCCAACCTCATCCTCATGCGTCTTGGGTCACCACTCCACCGGTTCCTTTGTATACTTACCTCTCACCCCCATAGACTCTGGAAGGAAGGCTGGGCTTACTCTATATAGGGACCCTTTTCCCTCCATATCTAAAGTCACACTCCCTTGATTTACAGTACCTATTCCTGAATTTCTATCCTGGCTGAAAAGTTTCTTTCCTTCCATCTCACAAAGGCTCATACCTCAAGCACTTTATCCCAAATATAAATCTATCCATAGCTCAGCTTTCGACTTCCCTGAACGTCCTCCTTGCCTTGCCTATCCTGGGAAACGGAACCTCTTCAACTCAGCTGCTCAGGTTCAAACTGTCACCTGTCACAGGCTCTGCTCCCTACTGGTTCAGACTGTCTCCATTTCTTTTACTGATCTTCTTGCATTAAATCCTTTGACTCAGCTCCCACTGTAGCCCATGATTTCAACTGGTGTGGCCTACTGTCTACCCTGAGCTCACCTATCACTCCCTCATGGAACATTTGCTGCCTCATCTGTTTGACATGTTGTGGTTGCTTGGATCGTCACAGGCTCATCCTCTTCATTACTCAAGGTTTGTGGCTCTGATATCACCTGGGAGACAGCCTTTCTGGATACCCAAAATAGGGAAGCCCCGCTCACCCTTAATTTCTCTCAGAGCACCTGTTGGTGTCCTGTCACGCTCCACCGTTCTAGCAGTGCCTGACCAAACCACAGCACCTAACCCTGTGTCCCAGCCTGCGCCCAACTGAGCTCACCATCTGGCCCTGCTTGGCCATCTTCTTGATGTCTGCGATGACTTTCTTCTCCTGGGTCTCTAGCTTCTGTCGCTCACGGTCCAACTCTCGCATGGCACGGTTCAGGGCTCGCTGGTTCTGCCTCAGCAACTCCTCTGGTGTCTTCCGGCGCCCAAACAACAAATCCATGGTAGCAGGAGCCCACCAGTGGGCCTGTGACAAGTGTGAAGCCTAGGTGCAAAGTGGTGTGGGCCCCAGAAAAAGGGCAAGAAGCAGAGCCAGAGTCACAATGTGTATGGGAGTGGGTAGTTGCGGGGGCTTGCAAAATGCAGAGGGGTAAGCAGGGAGAGGAAGCATTAATGGAAGGCCAAAACCTAGCCTGGAACACTGAAGGAGCCCCATGGGTACAAGTGGGGTCAGCAAGATCTGAAAGTCATCCACAACATACCCACCCCAGCCCTTCATCACAGTGCCCCAAAGGAGGTTCAAGGCTTCAGCCTCTCTCCAGACCATAGTGAGGCCCCGGAGTCTGATGGACTGAGAAGGGAAGTGGTTGTGTGAAGATGCACTGGGGCATGTGGACCCTGAGCGCCAAGGACAGGGCAACTGTGGGGGCCTGCGTACCAAGAACAAAGTGGATATAGGGGTTCTGAAGCTGACAACCTACGAATTAGCATTCGGACTGGCGGGGGGGGCGGGGGCCTGAACGGGGAGGGAACCTGGGTGCGAACAATATGGTTGTGAGGAGTTGGGGCACCCGGCACACTGAGGACATGATGGATGCTGGGGAGCTCTGAGGATCTGGAAAAAACGGGTCCGTGGGGACCCCTGTACACCCGGAACGGGATGATGGCCGATGGGGCGCCTTGTTCAGGACGACCTGGGGGGCGTTGGGAGGCCCGCACACCGAGAACAAGGTGGTTCGATGATGGGGCTACGGTCCCGTGGACGGGCGAGGCAGTCGACACCCCGGCGAAGAGACCCTCGTATGCCGTCGCCCACGCACCCACCCGGGACCCGCGGCCCAGCAGGGACCACTCACCGAAGCTGGGACGGGAATCCGCTTCCGCTTCCGGGTTACGCTCCTCTCACTCGGCTCTCAGGCGCACCCACTAACGATAGCTCCTCGGTTCTTTCTGCCGTCGCCGCCGTTTCCGGAAGAAATGGTCTGACGTCACACGCCCCACCGGCACCCGGAACGATGGGCGGGGACAAGAGCGCGCGTGCGCGAGCAGGCCGGCATCCAGGCGCATGCGCACAAGCTTTCGTCTCTCTGGGGCCTGCCTGAAGGTGTTCCATAGGTTCCAGCCCAGCCAGGCCTGGATTCCCAGTCCCCGTTGGGTTGGTGCATCTTCGGGCGCTTTGCGCCCGGCCACCCCAGAGGTCCCGGATCCCACCACCGCACCCACTAGAGGGCCCAGCTCATCCGACAGACCCCGACGTTTCCCTCATGTTTCTGGATCTCAGGCACCTGGTAGCACCAGGGAGCGTTCTTGGTGGATCCAGTCATGGCAGGAGGGGGCAGAGCTGGAGATGGCACGGACTTTCCTCTATACTGGCTTATCAAGCAGGAAGTGAGTGGTTACTGGTCCTGCCCCTCGATGGTCGCATATTGGGATTCATCCCACCCAGCCTGAGGCTTGGGGTGTTGTCCCCCCTATTGCCCCCCAGGGCTGTTTCAGGCACTGGGTAGCCTCCTGAAGGGTGCCCCAGTGCCATCTCTAACCAGTTACACATCTCCCGCCACTCCTGCTGCAAGAGCTCTGGTGGACATCACCTGCCCCTCCCACCCCCACAGAAGGAAGAGGCGGAGGCCATGCGGTAACATTCCCCTTTAATAGCCTGGTGGGACCTCCAGTGGTGGAGGGGTGGGGTGCCCGAGCCCCAGCCACCCAGTCCCCTTGGCCACCCACCCCAGAGCCCAGAGTGGGGGGCTGGACAGCACCCAGCTGGGGGCTAGACAAGCCAATTCATTTCCCATTGCTGAGCGGGTCGGGGGAGGCAGCGCCGACCTTAATCACATGGTGGTTAAAAAAAAAAATAATAACTAGGAGCGGGTGGCAGGGAGGGGAGGCAAGGCCAGGGCATGGGGTTCCCCCACCGGCCACCCCATGCCCCCCACCTGTGGCCCCCAATAAATATTTGCAGGGGACGCCGGGGCTGGTGGCCCTGGCAGGGGTGGGTGTGCGCCAACCCTATTTCAGGCAGCGCTCGAAGTAGGTGGAGCCGATATAGCCACCCCGCATGGAGCGCTGCACATTCTGCTCAAACAGCCGCCGGTTGTTCTGCAGGACCTCGGCGGCCTCCTTGTTCAGTGGGTCTTCGGGGTTGGGCTCCTGTGGCCGGTATGGGTAGGGGTCAACAGGCCCTAAGAGCAGAGAGGGCCAACCTTCCCCAGCCTCTTCCACCCACCCCTACTCACCAAGAAGAGATACTGCAGGCCATAAATTATGGAGTTTATCGTAAGGACTGGCTTCCAGTCCTCTCTGTGGACAGAGAATCAGGGTCAGGGGCTGGTGAGTGGATGGCCAACACAGAGCCTGCTGGGACTAAACGGGTCAGGCCCAGGACACAGGACAGTGCAGATGTGAGAGGCTAGGGGGAGGGCACACAGCGGGACAGGCCAGGGAGAAAGCTAAGGTCAAGACTTGAGGAAGAAAATGTGGAGATGAAGAGATAGAAAACCGCAGACCACAAGAGGGAGGGAAGGGACAGAGTCCTGTGCAATCTAAAGTCAGGGCCCTCACCTGAGGATGTTGAGGCAGACGTTGCCCTCGAGGTCAATGTTGGGGTGATAGACCATCGTCTCACACTTCACCTTGGGGGGGTCATGTGGGTAACCCTGGCCCACCTGGCTCCAAGAAGAGAGAGAAGATAGATAGGTGCCTTAGCAGTGCCTGGCTGGGGTGGGCCTCAGCTGTTGCCTCTATCCCTGCCCACCCGGGACTCACCTTAAAACTGAACACAAACTTCCCACTCTTGTAGAAGCCCTGCGAGGGGAAAGAGAAAAAGTCTTAGGGCACCATCCTGCAGGGCCTGGCAGGTAAACCAGGTCTCCCAACTCAAGGTATTCCCCCCACCGCCCCATACCTGGGAGTCCAACTGAGCCCCTACCTCATCAGGACAGATAACCAGCTTGAAGTTGAGGAGATCGTCTGGATCTGAAAAGCTGATGTCACACGTCTTGGGCAGGTTCAGCTCGTTTATGTCTGGGTTTGCAAAGCAGAGAAGGGGAACAAAGAGAGGGCAAGGGAGAGAGGAGGGCACTCAGAGCAGGTGCAAGTGCCAGCAGAGCACCCATGGCCTCCTCCAGGACCCTCAGGGCTCTGTCCTGGCTGTGCCCCACAGCCCCAACCCTCTCCCTGCTCTTTCTGCTTCCTAGTCTCCAGGCAGGCTCTTCTAGATCCACAGCACGCTTCAAACATGCATTTTCAACTGTGGCTATGCTCTATCTCCTGGCCCAGGGTAAGTTTCAACTCCTGTGAATCCAGAGCCTCAAGTCTCAGCACCCAACAGCTGGGTGCCCCCAACCCAGCTCCCAAATTCCCCCACCCCTGTGTGGCCTCCAAGAGCCTCCAACTACCCCAAACACCAGGATCTCCAGCCAAGAACTCCATTTTCTAGTGGACACTGCTGCTACCGCCCGTCCACCCAAACTCAAGGACCCTGCCCCCCATCATCCCCTCACCAATCCCATCTCCACCGTCCCTCCTCTTCTCTGCTTGTCATCCTAAATTCAGGGACCCATCCGACCCTCAGACATGTGAGTTCCCATTCCTGTACCCCTCTAAGCAGCCTGTAAGATTCCCAGCACCTCCAAGATGATAATCTAAATTCAACCCTACTCCCATCTCCAATCCCTGGCACACACTGTTCTTCCTTCCTCCACGTGTCACCCCAAACCCCAAATTGCCATGTGACCCCCGGACCCTCAAATCGCAGTGCCCCAAACTTACTTCACTGCATCTCACTTTCAGATTCCCAATGACCCCAAGATACTTCACTAAATCCTCTCCGACTCCTATCCCCAATCCTTGGCCCACCACCTACCTAATCTCCTCTGCCTATTACCCATGTTCCAATCTGACCCCCATGCTCTGTGGAGTCTCCAGCTTCCTACTCGCCCTTCATTGCCTGACTCTCTGATTCTCGGTCCCTAATGCAAGACGCCTGGCTTTCCGTATCCTAAGTGCCCCATACTCGGCCCCCTATCTTTGACCCCCCGGTGACTGCATTACTCCTGATCCCCCATCACCAACACCCAGGCCCTAACCTCCGACCCCACATCTGCGGCCACATCTCTGACATCTCTGACCCCCGGTGACTGCATTATCCCACTCCTGACTCTTACATCACCCCACCCCAAGCGCTGACCTCCGACCCCCACCCCCATCCTCCGACCCCCTACCCTTCTGGATCCGCAGCTGCGCAGCCGACGCCTTCTTGCTGCTGCCCTTGGTGCCGCCCGCCGACTCCTCCTCCTTCTTCTGCTGCTTCAGCGAGAACAGCTTGATCATCCTGCCGCCGCCGCCGCTGCCGCCGCTGCGGGGCCCGGGACCCCGGCCACCCGGCCCCCTGCCGCCGCCCGCGCCGCCTCCGCCACTCGAACCCGCCTTCGCGGCCTCCTCCGCTGCTGCTGCCTCCCGCCCGGCCTGCCGCGCCGCTCCGCGCCCACCGCGCGGCCCGCGTCGGCTCCCGTAGTCCGGCTCCGGCCTGGCCCGGCGCCTCGGGCTCGCTCGGCGGTGCTCGGGCCGACTCGGCTCTTCTCGGGTCCGCTCGGCCCCGCCCCCACCCGGCCGCTCCCTCCTCCCCCTCGCCCGCTTAGGTCCCCTCAGGCTCAGCTGCGGCCGCGCCGCTTGTCTGTTCACTCGCTCCCACCGCGAGGGGGTGCGGCTCGAGGGGAAGGAGGAGGCGGCGGCCGCGGTGGCGGCTGCCGTGTACTGGAAGAGGCTCGGCTTCCGCGGCAGCAGCGGCTTCGGCGCGGAGGTCCGCAACGGCCTCGGGCGCCCCACCGCTTCGGATATTTCCGCCGCTTGCCCACTTCGGCTCTTCTCGCCCGGTCTGCGCTGTGCGCTTGCGCAGCCGCCGCTGCTGCCGCCACCGCCCCGCGTTGCTCAGCGATAGGTCTTGATTATTCAGACTTTTTCGGCTGCGCTCGGGTATTTCCGTTCGTGCAGGCCGTCCCGCGGTCATTTCCGGGGACGCTCGCGGGTCCAGGCGTGGGCGGTGCCGCCGCCATCTTTAAGTAGGGCAGACGCAGGTCACTTCGCTCGCGGTTCACTTGTGCGGACCGCGGCGGGGGTGGGTCTCACGAGGTCCTTGCCCCTGGAGGTCAGAGAGGCAGGGTGACCACGGCGGGCCAGAGTCCGGGCGAGGCCATAGGCTTTGCCCAAAGAGTGCGGGGTCGAGCGCCCTTGGTGTCCCATCGCAAAGGCAACCCGCTCGCGGAGATTCTGGCTGAGGTAAACTAGCAAATAAAAGGTGTACTGTGCTAGAGAGTGGTAAGCACTTTGGGAGTTTACATGGGTGGACCCTGGATGATAGGACGTGGGGCGGGGGCCCTCTCGGAGCGGGTCCTGAGTGCCGGCGGAAACGCTCTGCGGTCTTCCGCCGTCTGTGCGGCCAGCCTGCCCTCCAGTCACACACAGCTCAGCGGGCCTCGGAGGGCGGGAGGAAGCGGCGCGGGGCGGTTCGGGGACTTCCGCCTGTCGCCACGGAAACCGTCAGGCGGGTGAGCGCGCGGCCCGGGGCCGGGTGGGAGGGTGCAGCTGGCGCTTTGCCGCTCGGCCCTTCTGCGCCCGAGAGCGGCTCCCGCTGCACGTCGCCTTCCGTGTCCGAGGCGACCTGCCGCCATCGCCTGGAGCACTGTGGAAGAAGTAGTTTGGCGGTCCGGTTGGGCAGGGATGCTCACGGGCTCCTCTCGGCCGTCGACCCCGACCCAGGCTCGCAGTCCTCGCAGTCCTCGCCTCGGGGGAGTCGCCCTGACGCCCTCCCAGACCCGACCTGGGGTCCATCTCGGCCCCTCTCGTCGCCTCCAGCTTTTCGGATCTTGGCCCCAGCCTCCTCAGAGTCCCTGCGCTCTGGGTTTTCGGGTACCATTGACGTCCCTGGGCTCCACGGACTGATCCCAGCTGTGTCTGTCCAACTGCTCCCGCTTTAGGCCCTGCCGTTCTCAATACCACCGTCCCAGGCACCCCTTTCGTGCCTCTGGTTGTGCCGTTATCCCAGCATCCTTTCTCGATTCGAGAGCTGAGTGCTGGAGAGGTGCCAGGATGAGGACTCAGAAACCTCAAACAGCTCACGTTTGGGGCTGACGCTGCAACCGTCCCCGCGTTCTTAGGCTTCAGACGTGGCTGGTCACGGGACTCAGATGGCCCCTCCAGACTCAGCCTTCCTCTTCCTCTATCCCTTCCTCTCTGTTTTTCTCAGCCACTCTGCTCTTCCTATCTATTGTTGTACACGCCATCGCCAGGTGAGGGGGGATGGCCATTCTGTTTCCAGCCAGAGTCTCAGGGGTGTTGCCTCATTGGTCAGCCTAAACCATGTGTCCGTCCTCAGGCCAGTTTCTGAGGCTCATCAGTTGAAGGTCCATCTGAGGATAGGGTATTGGTTCCCTGGACAAGTGATGCTACACTAGCCAAAGCTAGATTCTTGTGGTCTCTGATCTCATGGCTTTCCCACAGTCAGTGGGGAAGACTTAACCATGTAACAAAATGCTGGGAAAAGGGGGCCACGGGGCCTGGACCAGGGAGGAGGGGATGGCTGAGCTGAGGCAGGGTTTTGGATTAGAAGTGGTGCACCTGCGTTTTCTTTGTTACTCTCATGGCAGAGGGGCACAGGTGGTTGAGTGGTGAGGGTGCTTGTACCCTTTGGGCCTGCATCCTCTTGGCAGGCAGCATAGGGCTCAGCATATCAAAGGTCCTGAGGGAAGCTGGGGCTGGCACCTGGATGGATCGGGCAGCATATGACAGGTGAAGAGTGAGGGTGGAAGTGCACCTGGGGTATTAGCATAGCCTCTGGGACCTGTCACTGAGAAGCTAGGGTCTGTTTTGGAAAGGAGTGGCAAAAGCGGGCAGGGAAGGGAGGCGGAGTGCTGTGGGCCTCCAGGCTATAGAGATTTGTGGCTGGGATCAGAGCAGTGCTGGGGGATGGAGAAAATTGGACAGACTTGGGTAGCTTGGGGTTGGGGGTAAGAATAACTGGATGGATGTGGCATGGGGAGGCCGTGCTTGGGAGCAAACGGTATGGGCTCAGGTACAGATGATCCAGGGACAGGCTGGCAGGACACCGTTGTAGCTTCCCCAGATGACCAGTGCCTTAGGGGTTCCTCTCCTGGCTTCCTCCAATCGTTCTGGCTGAGTGAGGCTGAGTGGTCATTCTCTGCAAGTCCTCAGCCCTGCTGATAGTATGGTAGCATTTGGGTTCACAAACCCCAGCCTGGCTTGCAGGGGTGTCCCCGCCAACTGCAGAAATGGCTCTTCGTGGGGGGCTCTCACATCACTTCAAGTTTTTTTCTTAGAGGACTGATTCAGCGGGTGGGTCCGTGGACTTATGACTTTGGGCATGGGGCCCTGGCCTGATGGCTCACGCCTTTCATGTGTGTGATAATTTTTCCTGTGTGTAATTTCAAATTCTTTAGTCATATGTGTGCAGATTTCTCTTCCTGTTCCTCAAACACCAAGATGATCAAAACATGAGTGAGCTTTCTTGTTCTCTTTGTTTCTGATTATAAAATTCACACAGGATTTATGAAGTTCTGGCAGTACTTAACCTCACAGCAGTAGCTACCTCAGTGTTTGCGTGCCTTCCTTAATCGGACTCCTTGCCTCCACCTAGGGACCCAGTGACTGCCTTCCTCCCCTCTGATTAGTATATCCCAGGTCAGGGTCCTCAGAGTTCCGTTTGTGGTTGGAGAGGACAGTAAGTGTTGGCATAGGGCCCAGGGGACCTCTCCCCTCCTCCTGACTGTGCCACATGGCAGTGCCTCTACACATGGGGAGCTGTTGACCAGAGTGGCCCTGGTTCTGGCTAGGGGTAGGCCAGGGGGGAGGTGGAGAGAGGGGTGGAGTAGCGGAGGGAAAGAGGCAGGGAACACACCTCTGGGGTGACCATTGGAAGCTTCTGGCCGAGGCTGGCTTATCTTCTTTCCCTGATTTCAGGACCCTAGTCTTGTAGCAAAGTCCAGCTGTATCCCTGGAAGAAGCTTGGACACATTAGCCTCAAAAGATTGTGTTTAGAACCCCTCAGGCCAAGGGCAGGCTGACCCCTGCCCAGAGTGGGGTTTAGGTCCCAAGCCAGATCCTGATGCATGAAGATCTTTTCTTTGGCACTGCTTTTCATCCTGCTTTTGGCACCCCCAAGGTACCCACCGGTTGGAGGTGGGGGGAGGTGCTAGGTCAAGGGCCTGGACAACGGGATGGAAGGGTAAGGTAACTAGACCAAGAGGCAGTGGCATGGGAAAAGTCTAGAGGGTTCCAGAGATGCCAGCCCAGTGTGTAAGACGCCGAACCTGCACTGGCAGCATGTGTACTTTCATGGAAGCTGCTAACAGCTGTGTTTCCTGTGACTTGCCACTGAACACATTCCTCATAGAGACCACCACCCAGTGTGGGGGAGCCCTTGGGGGTCGCACACCTGGCCAGGGTTGGCGGCAGCTGTGGCCCACGGAATGCGAGTGATCACTAGAGGGCTAGGGAACTGGCCTGGGGCCTCCAGTGGACTTTGATTCCTGGACTGGTTGGGGTACTATCCTAAGGGGAACCTAACCTCAGCGTCCACTGGTAGTTAACATGCGTGAAAGAATCTAGATTTCCAGATAAAACCTAGCTTTTATGCCTAAGAAATGGCTTCCTAGGTTTAAAGTTTTACAAACACATCCCCAGCTCTGGCCTGCTGGGCACCAGTCTGCTACTTCTACTGCACTTGATGATCTTGGCTGGCAGGGGAAAACCGGGCCAGTTCTCACCTGGCAGTTGGCTTGGCCCATGGCTGTGAGGGTGGAAGGCATCATGGGCAAACAGGTGGCACCCACAGACCTCGGGGGGCTGGTAGGAGTCCTTGGCTCTCACAGAGACTGCACGGTTGCCGAAGTGGGGGAAGGCGGGGGTGGGCAGGGGGACCCGCGCAGGTGGGGAGGCACTGAGTGGGCACATTTCCAGACCCGTGTTCTGCCTACTGTTTATTGAGCACCTACTGGGAGCCACGTCCTGGGGGGGCCCGCCTGTACCCAAACTTGATGAGAGGCCTCACAACCACCCTGTGAGGTAAGTGTTCTGAGCGAACGCGCTCCCCTCCCCCGACAAAAGGCCCAAAGCCGAGGCGCAGAGAAGGGGGTTACTCCGCGCTGTGGATGCGCTGGTGCTGGATGAGCTTAGTGCTCTGGTGGAAGCGGCGGCCACAATCCTGGCAGGCAAAGGGCTTCTCGCGCCGGTGGGTGCGCAGGTGCTGCGTGAGCGTGGGCCTCTGGCGGAAGGCCTTGCCGCACTCCGGGCACGCGTAGGGCCGCTCGCCCGTGTGGATGCGCCGGTGCTGGGTGAGGTTGGCGTGCTGCCGGAAGCTCTGGCCGCAGTCAGGGCAGGCAAAGGGCCGCTCACCCGTGTGGATACGCTGGTGCTCGGTGAGCCGCGAGACTTGGGTGAAGCCCAGGCCACACTCGCTGCAGTGGTAGGGTTTCTCCCCGGTGTGCGTCCGCTGGTGGCGCGTGAGCTTCAGACGCTGGCTGAAGCGCTGGCCACACTCCGGGCAGGCGAAGGGCTTCTCGCCTGTGTGCACGCGCAGGTGCTGCGTGAGCGTGGGCCTCTGGCGGAAGGCCTTGCCGCACTCCGCACAGGCGAAGGGCCGCTCGCCTGTGTGGATGCGCCGGTGCTGTGTGAGGTTGGAGCGCTGCCGGAAGCTCTGGCCGCACTCGGCGCAGGCGAAGGGTCGCTCGCCGCTGTGCACTCGCCGGTGCTGCAGCAGCACGGAGCGGCGGCCGAAACGCTCGCCACACTCCACGCAGCCAAAGGACTTGTCACCCGTGTGCACTGCCTGGTGTTCCAGGAGCACGGCTCGCCGCGGGAAGCTCTCGCGGCACTCGCTGCAGGGGAAGGGGCCGGGGGGCTCCGGCGCGCCGGGAGGCGTGGGGGGCGCGCTGGGCGCGGTGCCGGGGCCCGGGGGGTCGCCGTGGATGCGCTGGTGCTGCAGCAGATTGGAGCGCTGCCGGAAGCTCTGGCCGCACTCAGCGCAGTGGAAGGGCTGCTCGCCTGTGTGCACTCGCCGGTGCTCCTCCAGGCGCGCGCTGCGCACGAAGCCCTGGCCACAGTCGCCGCACACAAACGGCCGCTCCTCGGTGTGCGTGAGTTGATGGCGCAGAAGGTGCGAGCTTCGGCTGAAGCTTCGGCCACACTCGCCGCACACGAATGGCCGCTCTCCCGTGTGTATTTTCTGGTGCCTCAGTAGGTTGCTGCGTTGGCTGAACACCTTCCCACACACGTCGCAGCGGCCGCCCCGCCCCACCGCGGGGCCTGTGCTGGGGCGGCCCCGGCCCCGGCCTTGGGTCCTGGGCGCGCGCCAGCGGGCAGTGGGCAGTATGGGGCCCAGGAGCTGGCGGGGACCCTCGTTCGTGGGGTTCTGCTCACCTCCAGGGCCACTGGGGAGCACGAGTGCATGTGAGAAGTCACTTTCACGGGAGGGTGACTGGAGTCGGCCGGTGAGGCCGGCCATGCCGAGGTCCCAGGGGATGTGGAGGTGGGGGCTCACAGTGCCTGGGCCAGCAGAGATGCTGTCCATGTGGAGCGCAAACCCTGCATTGCACAAGGGGATCCCTCATTCATACCAAGAGAACTGCGCCTGGCCCCACTCCAGCCCATGGTAAACAGGGTAAACTAGAAGGACCTAAAACTAGCCAGTGAGGCTGACAGAGGTGGCAGGGGTAAGGATTCTTTCTGTGCAGGCCTCCCTACAGAGGCATCGGTGGGACAGAACCTAGCATGAGGAAGATTCAGAAGATGGCGACAAGCTTTCCAGGCCTGGCTTCAGTTTGCAAGCATCGCCTTTCTGGAAGGGCTGTAGGGCAGATATGGGGCAGGTGGCCCTGCACTAGTGATGATGGTTTCTACAAATACACAGAAGTGGGTGGGTCTGAGGGGGGTTGGAAGTGGACCCAACAGGAAAGAAAGGGGGATGGGAGGGGGGTAGGCGGCAGGACTTTGGTCTGATGTGCCTTGCTTGGGATGTCCATGGGGCATCTGAGGGAGAGAGACTGCATGCAGGCTGTGGGGTGCAGGAGTTGGGGCTCGGGCTTCAGGAAATGTGAACATGGGTGCTGTGGCATTTGCATGGCACACAGAGCCCTGGCCCGTGTGTGATCAAATAAGAGTGGGTCTCTATGGAAAGAAGGAGCAGGTCCTAGCCACGCTGTGGCCCTCCAGCATTAGATGCTGTGTGAGAAGGGAGGTGTGAGCAAATGCAGCTGAGAAGCAGGGGCTAGAGAAAGAGAAAAGCTGAAGGAAGTTAAATCAGGGAGACTAAGAGACTAGCAAGGGCTTCAGTGGGTGACAGAAAATCCGTAAGTTGCCACAGTAAAGTCATAAATTATACTGTCTCAAAGGAGATCATTTGTGCACAGCAAAGACAACCCTGGAGCCAAAAAAGGAATGACAAACACATTTTCCAGAAGCAAAGGGCTAATTAAGCTTCTAAGTAAAGAGCTCCAATTAATCAACAAGACCGATGACCTGACAAACACAGGCAAAGGATGTAACTAATGCTGTGTCCCATAAAATATGCTGAGTTCACACCTAATAAGAAACTGCAAATTAGAGCTGTACTCGACTACCATTTTCATACTCTCCCCAGAGGGACTCAGGTGTTTGCATGCCTTGCTGGTGAGCATTTAATGGGAAGTCAGTGGGGCAAAATACATTAAAATGAAAGTTTCACTTTCATGCACTTCAACAGTTGTGTTCCCCACTGTCCAAAATGACCTATATATACGAGATTTCTCAGTCCGTCACTGAAACTCCACCCAAAGGAATGTCAGCAGGAGCCTGCCTGGATGGATAAGTGTCTCCACAGCGAGCCACAGTGGGGCTCCATGCAGCTGTCCAGAGACAAGAGTATTTGTTGCTGTGTGAAGTGGGAAGATGCACAAAAAATGTCAGGTGTGAAACATGGTGATTAGACCTTCACGTGTGTTTTAAAGGGGAAAAAGGTATGTATTTGAATTTGTGTTTGCTCTTTTATGCACAAAATCTTTTTGGAAGGATGCATAAGAAGATGGTAATGTTGGCTGTTGGGGAACAAGACTGCGTAACACAGGCAAGAGAAGGGCATTATACTGTATACTTCCTCGTGCCTTTTGAATTTTCTAACATGTGAATGCATTAGCTATTCACAATATTATGATGAAGACAGTGGCTGCAGAGATGGTTGGTTGAGGGGTGAGGAGAGCAGCCAGGCATCCTTAATGGAGAGACCAAGGTAACTGAAGGGAATGAGTGTTTGAAGCTGGGAGCCGCGGTTGTCAACGGAGAGAACAGGGCTGCAAAGAAGGAACCCGCCAAGGAGTCTGAGGTGGTGCCGCCAGTGTGGATGGAGAAAGCTGAAAGACTGTGGGGTTGTGAACTGAGAGAGAAGCAGGTCCAAATTGGAGGCAGTGGTCGGCCACAAAGCACAAGGCCGAGCCTGGCCAGCCAGCTGAAGACTAAAACAGCAGATGGGGGATGTGCCAGATCCTACTCCCTCAACTCCAACATGCAGAAACGACAACAGAACCTGAGAAAAAATTTAAAAATATTTTGGGCAACTCCAAAGGAAGAAAGGACAGTTGGTGAGGTTCAGGAATCCAGAGCCTGTGCAGTGAGCTCTAAAGCCCCTGGGGCTTTAGACCTGGGGATTAAAGCCAGGCTCTGTCATGAAGCTCGGGGTTGAGGACATGGGCTAGGTTAGTGCAGTCCTCCCACAGACCTGGCCAGGAATAAGCTGCTTGCTTTTGGCTGGGTTCCAGAACTACCTTCACTGAACATCCTGGGGCCCAGATGATCCTTCCACTTCAGGGTTATGATGGATCCTGTGGCAGCCTCTCACCCACCAGGATGCTTGTCTCATGTGGGGACAAACAGGAAGGTCCTACAGCTATGAAGGGCAGACTGTCAACAGTGCAAGCAGTTGGGAGAATTCACACCTGAAGAAACCAAACTAGCTAACCAGTTTGGAAAGGACACTAAAGTATGTCCAAATCCTCAAAGGACGGATCAGCATCCATGAAACAAGGACATTATGAAAAAAGAAAGACTTAGAATCCTTATTGACAAAAAACATAGCGAATAGGGACTTCTGGCTAATAATGGTATCTATTTAAGTTAGTCCCATCCTGAAACAACAGTAAAAACAACAACAAAGTTTTTGTTTCTTGGGGCATAAAATCCACAAAGGTTAAAGAAGAGGAAAGGAAACAAACAAACCTCTGACATTTTCTATTCTGGAAAGCTGAGGGGCAAAGAGTAACTGTGTAGCAGACTGTAGAAAGTGAATACTAAGCCAGCAGTGAGGAAAATGGAAGAAAAAAAAAAATCACTCTGACCCCAAAGAAGACTCGAAGAAAAGTTTGGGAGTTAGAGGTACCAGGTAGCTCTGGCCATGGAGGTGAAGGGGCAGGGCCACGAAGCACGCTGGGGAGGCTGTTCAGAACTACTGCATGGACCAGCCCTGGGCTCTGTCTGCACAGAATTCTGAGCAAATAGTGGGCACTGCTGTAGCTCTGATTCCTGGATCTCTTTTCCCCATCCTGGCAAAAGGCTGGGTTGAGGTTAAGAGACCATACTGAGGAAGCAATATAGCCAACAGCCAAGTAATACGCATTCCAGAAACAAGGGAACAAAACAATGGAGGGAAAGGAAATCAGAGAAACAATTCAAGCCAGTTTCCCAAAAATGAGAGGTATGAATTTCAAACTGAAAAGGCTTACCAACAATGATGATGAAAAAGCTTTGAAACTGAATTAGTAACAAGAATTCTTCATGCAGCCCAAGTAGCCTAATATAGAATGTTAGGTAAGTGTGTTTTAGAGATGTAGCACCTCAGAACTTTTTATCTCCCATACCAGAGTTCCCAGGAAGGTCCACTAGAGCAAGGGAGTAAACCAAGAAAGAGGAGGGGTCCAGGGAACAAGGAAGAAGAGGCAGAGACACTGGACGATGGCAGACTGAGAGCAGTATAGCTGAGGTGGACAGCAGGGGGCCATTGGCTTCCTCTTCTGTCCTGCTTGATCCAGGTCCCTCCTGCCCACCCACTGTCTGCTAACTGGAGGTCCTTGCCAGATCCAGACCCTCCCTCCCCTGCTACCCAATCAGTAGGGCAAACCCAGAATCTATGGACCTTCCAGGAATGCTAGGGCTGGGAGAGGATGGGGGTCTGGGGAATACAGGCCCTGTTCTCAGGTTTTACTGTGGTGGGGAGCAGCACCTGGAGGGAGCCTGAAGTCAGCAGAGGGCTTGAGGAAAACCCCAACAGCCTACTCCATGCCAGGGGAGAGCACAGGTTATATGTTGCAAGAAACAGTCCACAGAATGGAGGAGCTTGGAGATGCTGGAGTGAGAGGGCAGGGCCAGGAGTGGGTTAGGTGAATGTGGTGCTGCCCATGCAGAGGGCCCAGCCCCACCATGCCCGGTCTCACTCACCTGGAGGGAAGATGCCCCCAGCTTCCTCCTGCCACAGGGCCCCAGGATGCTCCCTCCATGAAGGCCCTTCAAGCACAGTCTCACTGTGGGGAGAGGCCTGGTCCAGCCCTATCTCACAGTCCTGAAACCACAGTGGTCGCTGCTCGTCTATGCCCAGCTAGGCTCAGAGAGGGACCTACCCGACCCCCACCCACTGAGGCTCCCCACACAGGGAGGATGGCTTGTACGGGGCTCACCTGGGCCTCTTCAGGCAGGAGAGTGGAAGTGGCTTCTTGGGGGTTGGCTGCAGGCCCAGAATCCAGAAGCTCTGTAGAGGAAGGTTGGGGTCAGGTGGCCCAAGGGTGTTCCCACCCCACTGCCCTCCTCAGTGATATGCCAGATGCTGGAATCCACGCTTGGGGCTGGAGTAAGGCAGAACCCCCTGGAAGGCCATAGGAGGAGCTGTAGCAGGATGAGACAGACTCAGGTCTGTGCCCTGCCCCCCTGCATGAGCCCTGGGCAGGAAGGCCAGTGAGGGTAGAGAGGAGCACTGCACCAGGGTCCACACAGGAATGATGCAGAGTGTGGGTGGCCAGCGCTGGCATCTGCCTGGAAGGAGTAAAATAGGGAGGGGCATGCCTCCCAGCACCCTGGGGTCCTCCCTCAGCCACACCTACCCATATTCAAGCCTGCTGCCTGCTCCCCAGAGACCAGCTATCGTCTCTCAATGGATCTTCTTGGGGAGCGAACCCCACATGCCTCCCCACCTCGAAACCCCAACAGCCTGCGCCATGCCGGGGGAGAGCACAGAAACACAGCTGTGACAGACTTGGCATGTGAGGAACAGTGATGGCCACTGGCTAGGCAGGATGGAGTGCCGGGAGGGGGGGGAGGGGGGCACACCAGTGCACATGAATAGTTCCATCCAGCAGGTGACCTTCAGGCTGTTGAGGCCAGACTCCTCTGGTCTACCCAATCAGGCTTTGGGCCATGCATGCCTTGGCCGCCCTCACCTGGGTCCTCTGTAACCGTGGGCTCCTCTTTCACCCGAAGGCCCAGTGGTGACTCTTGTGTGGCTTCAGATGGTGTCCTAGGCCCACATTCTGGAGTCTGAGGCTTGGTTTGAAGGAGGGGCTGGAAGTTGGAGGGCTCCATCTTCTCTGATAGCACCTCCTGACCCTGCACTTGGACTGTGACCTGGGGAGGCGCCCCCCCTCCATCAGGGACCCATGCAGAGAGTTCGGCTGGGTACAAGCAGGGGGTTCATGGGCATCTTCCCCATCACAGGACCCCAGGTCCTGACCCACGAGGTTCTCCATGGACCCACATCCCCCCAGCACTGAGTCAGGAGTGAAGGGACCACCTGCATTTGCTCTCCTGCTGCTTACACCCACGAATGCCCAGTGGTCTCCCTCTCTCTCCACCCTGCATCCCTTCCCGCGTCCATGACTCCACGTGATGCAGGGATGGGCCAGTGAAGCTGGCCCTGGAAGCTTGGCTACTCTCACACAAGGTCTGCTGCAAGTGACCACTTCCAAACCACAAGGAACAGGTGTCTGGTCAAGCATGGCACTCTCCAGGGTGAGGCAGAGCTGGATACTGTTCCAGCCTGGATCCTGGCTCAGGGCCACTGACTCACCCATCTGCGGGGGCCTCCTGGCTCCTGGCGCAGCCCCTCGACCAGGGCAGCGGCCTCCTCAGGGCTGCCTGGCCGCTGTCCCTCCACACGGGCCTGGATCTCAGGGGGCAGTGCGCACAGGAACTGCTCCAGCACCAGGAGCTCCAGCATCTGCTCCTTGGAGTGCGCCTCGGGCCGCAGCCACTGGCGACACAGCTCCCGGAGCCGGGCCAGGGCCTCACGGGGACCCTCTTCCTCCTCATAGTGGAAGTGTCGAAAACGCTGGCGTGCAGCCTCTGGGCCGGGATCCCACGGGGCGGCCTCACCCTCCTCCTCAGAGTCCTCCAGCTTCACCATGACAGGTCCCTCATCTTCCAGGGACATGTGACCTGGGGAGCCTAGTGCTGCAGGCCTCATTGGAAAGACTGGGCGGGGGCTCCGAGGATAATGTCTTCCCCTAGGAGAGGAATAGGATGAGGCTACTGCGAGGACAAACAGTGGCAGCAAATGCTTTTTTGAGCGTCTACTGTATGCTTCGTTGTTCCATCTTCAGACCTCCACTGAGTAGAAGGCAGATAAGAAAACTGAGGAACAGAGTGGTGGTCACATGCCAGGCACCTGTGTCTCTGGTCTCTAGCTGGGACCTACACACAGTCTCTGGCATTCCCCTGTTCCAAACACAGGGTGCTTCTTAGGCATAGAAGGCACTCCTCCCTTAAATCCTGCTCTTCTACATGCACCACCCCATCCCTGCCCTGCGGCTCTCCCACTGCCAGGTAAATGACATTTGCAATATTTACCACGTAGGCATAAGCACCACTACAGGCCCCCCTCCCGCCTCGGAACACCAGCCCATCATTGCACCACCCACTCTCCCATCAAGTCTCTCAGCTTCGTTCCACCGGGCAGCCTCCCTCCACCTGCTCCCCACCCCCACAGAAGGGCAAGGTCAACTCTGTGGCCACGCCTCCAGGCAGCATCCCCCTCTCCCCCGCCATTCAGCCCCATCCTCTGAACAGGCCCAACTTATCACACCATGTAAGGCCCCACCATCTCTTCAGCTTCCTGATTTAGGCAGGGTTAGGAGGTGATGGGAGCTTCCAGGGGGCCCACAAAGGCCCCAAGACAACTGGACCAGGCGCCTGCAAGCAAGGTCGGAGATTCTGATCTTGCCTATTTGCTACGTAACCCTGGCGAGTTTCTGTGAACCTCAGTTTCCCCATCTTTACCGTCCCCCGTAAGAGGGGATGCCCCCCTTCCCCCGCCATTGCTGCTCCCTTTGCAGCTGGGAATAATGTGCGGGCTTTGTGAAGAAATCTGAGTTTATTAAGTGAGTAGATTCGATTTCCAGGGCCGCCGGATCCCGTGGGTCAAACTTCCGTTCCTCAAGGTTCCAGGCCAACCTGCAACCCTGGGAGAAAGTTGGACCATTTTTAAGCCAGCCAGCCACTGCGAAGCTTCCTGAACTACATTTACCAGAAATCTTGAAGAGCAACTTCCACTTTCGAGAGACGCCCCCCCCCCCCCCGGCCCCGCTCCCCCGGCGGGTTTAGTGCCGCTATGGCAACCGGGGGGCGGGGCTCCTAGACCTTGTCGCTGTGGCAATGCACAGTGATTGAAGAGCATCGTGCGACAGCGCCCGGCTCGCCGAGAAGGAGTGCTAGGTCCCTGCTCTGCGCTCCGGGTCCCGCCGGGTAGCGGGAATCCAAGAGCCCGCGGCCGCCGCCCCGGTCCCCCCCAAGCCTTCCTCGTTGAGAGGTCCCCGCCCTCACCTCCACGCTCAGCCGGCCGCTCCGCGCTCCTAAGCATGCGCACTCGCCGACTTCCCCCTCCCCGGCCGGACTATGTCTCCCAGAATGCTCCACGCATCAGCCCGAGTGCCTCCTAGCCCTTCCCCCACCCTCTCCTCCTTTTCCCCCCTCCTCCCGTTCCCCGGGGTAGCGTTGTTCGCAACGATCAGATCACACGCCCGGCCGCCTCTTCCCGCGCTCCCCGCCTCGGATCCAGGCGTCCGTGCCCCGTCGACGTGCGCAAGCTTCTCAGGGGGCCACGGACAGCAGGACTGCCTTCCCAACCGCGCATGCCCCCCACCACGTTTGCCTCAATTCTTGACGGGCCTTCCAGGGATTAGCAGGGTTCTGCACCAATCACCGCTCTCGCTAGGACGCCGTCAGCCCATGTCTCCATGGCAACCTTTTGCAGAAAAAGGGGGCACTCCTCCACTGCCCGCCCGGACTGCAAATTGCAAAGAGGCCCGGCCCAGTGCTTTCTGGGAAATGTAGTCGGCTGGGCCCTCCGTGTGCGCTAGAACCGCGCGACGTTCCTTTGTGTTCGTGAGCGGTAGGCGGGCCTGGGAGTCTCCATGGTAACCTGTGGGGCCGACCCGACGGTCTCCAGCGCAACCCCGGGGACCTGGTGGGCATCTGAGAGGCGATGGGGAAGGTGGGGTAGGGCTTGGGAAGCCGACAGGGGCAGGGAAGTCGAGCGAGACAGTGAGGAGAGACAGACACAAAGACAGGGGCAGGGAGAGGCCCAGAGCCTGTGGGGGCCTACTCAGGGGCAGAGAGATTTGAGGAGAGACGGTGAACGTAATAGAACAGATTCAGAGACCGAGACACCGATAGGAAAGAAAGTCATCAGGGAGGGATTTCCACTCTCAGAGACTTAGAGAATGTGATAAGAAGCCAGAGGATCAGAGAGTCAGGCCCGGGTAGACAGGAGTGTCAGAAAAGTTAGCAAGGGGGAGGGAGATCAGGAAGGGATGGGTATGAAAGGAGAGACAGAGGGAGAGGAAGAAGAGGTTCACAAAGACAAGATACAGACAAGGAATACAGGCATACAGAGGCAAAGGGAGAGAAAGGGACAGAACTTTGAGATACACCAAAGATGGATGGAGGGAGAGTTTTCAAAGACCTAGAGAAGGGTGACAGCAAGAAGAGAGACAGTTGGAGGTAGATTTGTTAGGAAAACGTATCCAAAATTTGACAATAGGACGAAAAAAGATGGTTGGGGGCCCTCTCTGCATTTCCTAGCATTGTATACCAAGTAGTCTCGGAACTACCTTTCGATCAGAATCCAGGCTGCAAATGCTTGGGGTTAGAGTTGTATCACCCCTAGGACACTGAGCAGGAACTGAGACACCCGGGGCCGCTGCCCTGTAGGGCACTCATTCGACTTTGGGCTTTTATTTCAGTGTTCCTCATTTCTTTCACCCTTTCTGTTCCTTCTTCCTCATCTTCCTGGAACTACCTATGTCATCCTGCTGCTAGTTCCCTCCATGAGGTAAATAGCTCTTTGACACGCACTCATTGAGTTTATTTATTTATTTATTTTTAAAAGATTTTATTTATTTATTTATTTGACAGAGACACAGCGAAAGAGGGAACACAAGCAGGGGGAGTGGGAGAGGGGGAAGCAGGCTGGGATCATGACCAGAGCCGAAGGCAGACGCTTAACTACTGAGCCACCCAGGTGCCCCTCACTGAGTTTATTTTTAACCTTTAAAAAAACACTTGACAGTCTCAGCGGAATTAATTCTCCAGGATGGGGGACAAACCGAGAGAAAGAGAAAACAGAGCCAGAATTGGAAGGAGATAGGGAGGATGAAGTAAGGACACAGAAACTCAGCGGCGGGGAAAATTCGAGAGAAAGGAAGCAGAAAGCCCGCTTTGGGCAGAGGCAGCCTCCAGCGCCTCCGGCTAGCCTCTATGCGCTGCGTCCTCGACGCCGAACTACATTTCCCGGCGGGCTTGGGAGCGCCCGGCGCAGGGTTTAGAGCGCCGTCGGGGGCGGGCCCCACGCGGACTCCGCCAATCTCGGCAGTCGCCGGCAATCTTCCGCCTCCGCCGGGAACATGGAGGCTGAGCTCGGCCGCCTCCGGAAAAGGGCGGTGTAAGGCAGGAGGTGGGGAAGAGCTGAAGCAGCCGGCCCGCGTCGCGGTCCGGAGGTGAGGGCGGGCGGCCGCGCGGGGGCCCCGGCTCCGGTGGCTGGGGCTGGGGCTGGGGCGCCGTTTCTCGGGAAGGGAACGGACAGGGGCCGCTGCGCGCTCAGTCCGGGACGAGCGCGGGTGGGTCAATCGGAGCTTCCGGCGGCCCCGCGGCTGCCTGGGAATTGTAGTCTCACGGGGACGAACCCTGTCTCCCACCCAGACACTGGGCGGCGAGCCTCCCCGGCGGCGCGCTTGGAGACTTTCTCACGAGAGTGGGAGGGAGGGAGGGAATGAGTGAATGAACACATGGGTGAATTCATTTAAAATTGTGGGTGAGCAGAGGGAGGCGTGAATGTTGGAGAAAGAACAATGGCGCGTGAGGGGTTCAGAATTCGGGGACGGCTTCCAGGCAAGAGGAACCTTTCCCATGCCCTCCCACCTTTCACTGCCTCCAGGCTCGAGGGTCCTGTGCCACCTTGTTTCAAGCATGTGCAGCCCATGAATCCTTGAAGGTATTGATGCGATACCGATAGGTGCCATAGCCGCTGCAAAAACGGACCTTCACTCATTTGTCCATGCTTTCACAGGCACTCCTTCAATTTTTTTTTTTTTTTTTACTGTTGATCAGGTGCTACTTTCACATGGTTCGTAATGCGATAGGGACAAGGTGAGAACCCTGCCTCCCACCGCTGTACTTCATTTAATAATTCCATCAGCAAGCTGGATGCACTATTCCCAGGGCTGGGGACACAAGAGAGAGCTCTGCAGACACAGCTCCTGCCCTCAGGCAGCATGTGACAGATGCATAATAAAATGTAGGTGGGGCGGGCCTTTTTGATTAGGTTACATTTGAGCAGAGATCTGTAGGAGAAGGAGCGAGCCATGCAGATAACAGGGAAGAGCCTGGGCCCTGGGCTGAAGGAAACAGGAGCACCCTTAGTCTGCCCCAAGGATGTGGGCAGGAGTGAGCAAAGTAAAGGAGGAGGCTTTGAAGTCCTTGACGAATCTGGTGAGGATGGTGGCTTTTACTCAGAGCTGGGAAAACTCTGAGCAGAGAGGGGGGAACAGGATCTTAGTGCTTACTGAATCTTTGTGGCTGCGGTATGGAGAACCACCTTCCTCCTCTATTCCCAGGTGCTCTATGGGGTGGCACAAATTAGGTTGGTTTCCTCCTGCGTTAGTTTCCTATGACTGCTGTAACGTACTACTGAAAAATGAGTGGTTTAAAATAACACAAATGTATTGTTTTGGAGGTCAGAAATCTGAGATGGGTCTCAGTGGGCTAAAATCAAGGTATCAGCCGGGCTGGTTCCTTCTGGAGGCTCTAGGCTCTAGTGGTCACATTGCCGCCTTCTGAGTGAAATCTTTTGCCTCCTCTTGCAAGGACCCCTCAGATTACATGTAGGGCCCATTTGAATAAGCCAGGATAATTTCCCTATCTCAAGATTATTAACTTAATTACACCTACAGTGTGATTAAAGGAAGGCTGGCCTTGGAGCAGCCCTTGAGGGCATGCGGGTGCCAGCACACCTTTTGCCATATAAGGTAATTTATTAATAGGGATTAGGATGTGGATGTCTTTAGGAGCAACAAACACTGATGTTTGATGTCTTTGGGTGGGAAGCATGGAAATGTGTAGCTCATTTGCTCATCAGTGTGTGGGAGGTGGTTTCTAGACTGTCTCGTGGTTACAAGAGGTTTGCTGGGGGAAGAGAGCAAAGTCTCCTAGCAGACTTGTCTTGATCTCATAAGCTAAAACTAAGTGACATGCTCCTCTAGGTGCAAAGAATGCTTGGAAGTGTGTGTGCAGTGTTTTTAGCAGTAGGGAAAGAAGGGGCTGGGCATGCCTCTGAGGCAGTGGTCAGCAGGGCTGGGTGCTCTGTGTCAGAGCATGGAAAGGCCAGCTGGTGGTCGGGACTTCCATGTACTTACACATTAATGCCCATGTGTCCTTATCTTACAGGCAGAGGCAGGTATGGCAGGAGAGGCCAAGAGGCTGCCATTGTGGGCACATTGGTAGCTACTGTGGATAGGCCCTGGGGAGAGACCTCATCAAGGTGCGTGGCTCAGGGAGGCGGAATGAAGACAACTCCCCGGCTGCCAATGTCGGGGAAGGCACCCCTTGGTGGGATTGGCCTCCGCCACAGTGCCAAGCGGGACCGAAAGTCCATCACCCTCCATGTGAAGTTAGAGGTGCTCCGGAGGTTTGAGGAAGGTGAGAAGCTGACTCAGATTGCCCGGGCCCTGGGGCTGGCCACCTCTACCGTCGCTTCCATCCGTGTCAACAAGGACAAGATCCGGGCCAGTTCTCAGGCAGCCACCCCTGTCAGCGCCACGCAGCTGACCCGCTGCCGGGGTGTGGTGATGGGCCATATGGAACGCTTGCTGAGCCTATGGATTGAGGAGCAAAAGCGGCAGAACCTGCCCATCAGCACACTGCTCATCCAGGACAAGGCACGGCGGCTCTTTGTGCAGCTGCAGCATGAGCAGGGTAATGGCACTCAGGCTGAGACCTTTGGGGCCAGTAATGGCTGGTTTGCCCGATTCAAGGCTCGCCACAATGTGCTTTTGACAGATGAGCCATCTGTGGCTGACACCCAGGCTGCTGCCCACTATCCCCCAGTGCTGCGCACCATCCTGGAGGAGGGCTGCTACTCACCATGCCAGGTCTTCAATGTGGACGAGACGGGCCTGTTCTGGAAGCGGCTCCCGGAGCGCATGCTGCTGGCCCTGGAAGGGGCAGCCAGGCCTGGCCTCAAGGCCTCCAAGGACCACCTGACTCTGCTGCTTGGTGGCAATGCAGCTGGTGATTTCAAACTGAAGCCGCTGCTGGTGTACCCCTCAGAGAACCCGCGTGCCCTCAAGGGCTGCTCCAAGGCCAGCCTTCCTGTGGTCTGGCGCTCTAACCGCAATGACTGGCTGACACCCAGCATCTTCCAGGAGTGGTTTACTGGCTGCTTCTGCCCTGCCGTGGAGAGCTACTGTGCCAGCCACGGCCTCCCACACCGAGCCCTGTTGCTCTTGGATGGCGCGCCCTGCCACCCTGCTCATCTGGGTGGCCTCTCAGCCCACGTGCGAGTTGAGTTCCTGCCCAAGAACACATCGGCCCTGATCCAGCCTATGAACCAGGGTGTCATTGCCACATTCAAGGCCCATTACCTGCGCCGCACGCTCAGCCAGCTGGTCCAGGAGACAGCTGGGGAAGACCGGCCCTCTGTGCGGGAATTCTGGCGCAGCTACACTGTTGTGACTGCTGTGGACAATATAGCCGAAGCCTGGGCAGAGCTGCAGCCTGCCACCATGAATAGTGCCTGGAGGAAGCTCTGGCCCGAGTGTGTCCCCTCTGGCACCCCCGAGCCTGACACCGTGCCTCAGCTCCGTCGCAGCATTGTCACGCTAGCCAGCCATGTGGGCCTTGGAGATGCAGCGGAGGCCGATGTCGCCAGCCTCCTGCAGGCCCATGGGGAGCCCCCACCCCACGGCAGCCCCCAGGATGCAGAAGATGGGGACATCAGCGGCTCTGGGTTGCCCTGGAAGGCAGGGAAAGTCTCGGTCTCCAGAAAACCAGAGCCAGATTTCACAGAGGCTATGGTGGGTGCGGGGACCGAGGAAGCTGATGTGGGTGCTCTGAGCACCGAGCACCTGGCCCAGGCCCTGTCTCACTTTGCTGCTGGTTTACGGGTCCTCATGGAGAATGATCCAAACCGGGAGCGCAGCCTACGGGTGTCCCGGGGTGTCCACTGTGCCCTTGCCCGCCTCCGGGAGCTGCACCGGGAAAGGAGGCGACAGGCCCGGGCAGCTGCATCCTTAGGGGGCCCCATGGCAGTGGCAACAAGGGCTTTGGCAGGAAACCTGCCCTTGCCCCAAGTGGGGCCCATAGAGGGTGGGGATGTGGCTAAGGGCACAGGTCATAAAGGTCAGACCTCTGGCTGTCTTGTATGATTTGGGGTTGGGCTTGACCTCACATGATCTCTCTCTAATGATGTTTTGTTTCTGGAGGTCAGATACTGCTACTTCTCCCCTAGAGTTCTCCTATCTCATGCTCTGTGGTCTTTGTATAGTGACACACAGCTCGGGCTTGGGGAACAGAAGGGTAGTGTTCTCTGACTGGCAGATGAACTGCAGGGCCCAGGAGTGCCCACCCATGACAGGGACACATCCTGTAGTATGGTAGTTGCCCAGCACAGCCTGCCAGGGCAGCTTTTCTTGTGGTGAGGGGCCAGCACTGAGACCCACCTCTCCCATTTTCCAAACCTGACCTCTTACTCCCTGCACCATTGTGACCCTTCCTTGCCAACTTTAGATGAGGGTTTCCTGCTCTCGGCATGTCCTTTGTCACTCTCCATGCCATCCTCACCTCTTCCCGCTTCCATGGCCTCTGTTGATCTGGGTCTCTGTTACCTTTCCTGTGCCTGAGCACTTTGATTCACTGTGGATTTTGATACCAGGGTTCACTTCCTTCATCTGGAGATGTTTTCTTCCCTGAGTTTCTGTGCTGTCGTTGTCTTGGCTTCCCTCTAGCCTTTGAGGTTGAGCCTTTTGTGGCTGTGATGGTCTCCCAGTTCTGGTGCTCTTTGGAAAATACCATCCACTCCTAAGAGCTGTGATCACCTCAGGGTTAACTCCCAGTGCATTGGCTACAGCCCAGCCTCTCCCTGAGTTAGACCCAAAGCTCTGATTCTGGTGGAGACCCCCACCCCCCAGTCTTATTATCTCCCCTAATTCCAGTTTGTTTTCCTGTCCCCCAGACTGTAACAACAGGCATCATGGGGTGTCCACCTGACTGCAGAAACACCTCTTGGGTCACCAAAACACAGATAGTCAGCAAGGGAAGGTGTTCTTGTGCTCCAGCTGGATGAGCCACAGGTGGTGGGACAGGGATGTCTGGGCTTGTGGACTCCTTTCGACACAGGTGTGTGCACACACACAAACAGACACGCATACCAAGAAATAAAGGTGGGAGGAAGGATGCGTGCTACTTCCGTCTGCATTGATGGGCTTGCTGTCAACATATCACAGGGGCCGGGGGCCAGGGAGGGGCTTGAAGGGCCAGCCTTACTGGGAGAAAGGTCAGATGAGGCCCCGTGCTTGCTTTCCTGGGGAGAATGGTAAGAGGGATGACAGAAAAGGGAAGCTTTTCTTAGGATTCTGGTGACAGACTGGATTAATCGCCCATTTTATGAGCCAGCTGTTGAGGAGACCAGGGTGAGTGAGACTGACTTCAGGAGCTGCCAGTCCAGAGGTTGTTCTGTTCTCTGTGACAAGGCTATGACAGGTGACTCAGGAGGAACCCCCACCTAGCCAGGCACAGAGGACCAGGCCTGATAGGCTTTCTGGGGAAATGGTGTCTCAGGCTTCAGGGACCTTGCTGACAGGAAACCCCCATTTCAAAATGCCACACGGTACCGAGGGGTTTGACAGAGGCAGCCCAGTGTGGTGGGGTGGTTGGTGAAAGCCTAAGGCCCAGGAGGAAGGGGTATCCTCGGGGGAGGCTGAGTGCCGTACAGCCGCTGAAGCAGGCCGGTGACCAGGTGGGAGTCTATGAGGCCAAAGCTGACCGGGTGGAAGGAGTAGTTGGGTCATGCAGGCATTGTGACCGGACCGTCTGGCTCCAGGGCTTGTTTCTTCAGGCGCCCGGCCATCAGTAAGCGCGCAGCGGGGAGCCCTGGATTCGTTCAACCAGCAAGCTTTCCCAGGCCCCTGAGCATTTTAGGGTGGCCCTGGTGGTGGGTCAGGGAAGCCCGGTGTCTCCTGCAGCTCCACAGGCTGATTCTCGGACGCGCTGGGGACTGCATTTGCCAGAGAACCTCACCAACAGCCTGTCTTCGACGCCGAAGCAACCGACTCCGGCCTCCCTCACCTCCCGCGGTGTTTGCGTGGGATGTCGAGCGGGGCGGGGGTCACGCGCGAGGGCAAGGGCACGGGCGCCGGAAGCAGTCCGTGGAGGGGCCGGAAGCTCCCCGTTCTCCTCGCCAGGGTGGTTGGTCGCGGTCCCTGCGCGGTGGAGCTGGGCTGTGTGGCTGCCGGGGGTGGTGAGTCGGGCGCAGTGCAGCCAGAAGCGGCGGAAAGGCCTGGGGTAGGGTGTGCAGCCCGGCGGAGGACGGCAGGGGACTTGGCGCAGAGAAGCACCGCCCGTTTCCCTGGGAGCCCCGTTCGTCCTGGAGGAAGGGCGGCTCAGGGGCCTCTGGGATACCCAGTCTTGCGCGGGCGCGTCCTGACCCGGAAGTGGTTCTGGGCTGAGCTGGGCTCTCACCGCTGCTGCGGGTTCTTCCTGCGGATGGGCCCTGTTACCCTCCTGAGCCCAGTTTCCTGGGCTTCCCTCCACTGGTTCCCTTTCAGATGCAGACCCACCGGGCTCCTTCAAAACTGTTCTCACTTCCTCTCGGGCGTGTCTGCATTTCCACAACCCAGGCTTGCGTTCCCCCTTTGCTCCCACTCCACGTGCGTCCGTCCTTAGAGTGCTCCGGGAGGGCGCTCTCCGCCCTCGGGGGTTAAAATCCAGACCCTTACGTGGCCGAAGGCTCTGCAGCATTGCCCTGGCCACGTGGCTCTGGCCTGAGCTGATCCCGCGGCCCAGAATGTTCTCTCCCGTAGCCATCACCTCCTCAGGGCACCTGGCAGTCAGGAGCCTGGTGGTTGGGTGTGTGTGGGGCATGGAGCTGCCCCGGTCTGGGGAACCCTGACCAACCCTTTTAAAAACATGCGCTGGCAGTGAAAACGGCCTTTATTCTCTTTTAAAGTTGCAATGGTAACAAATAGCCGTTGCCCCCCCCCCCCAAAAACAGACAGTATGTAGAGATTTAGAAAAGAAAAAGCGGATGTCCTCCTCCAGTTATTTCTCCCAGATTTCGCCCACTGGGAGTTTGTTTTTCAGGACCCGTTTCTGAACATTTATAACGGTAGCTCCTGCGTGTACTCACACACACATAACACCGCAGAGGTTTGTTTTCAAATGTTAACATCAGTGGGATCATGTTGCGTGAGGAGGGCCACAGATTACTTTCTTGTTTAACATTGTAGAGTGGACATCTTTCCTTGTCATTTTTTGATCTTGGCTAATTGGTGTGAGCTGAGCCTCTCAGGCTCCATAGGAGTCTGCCATGGGGGAAGGAAGGCCTTCCAGTGTGAGTCAGCTATCGCTCTCCCTGCGCCTGGCCCATGCTGTCCCTAGCTTCCATCTTGCCCTTCCAGTCTGTCCCCCACATCACTCTTCCTGGTGCCTGGCTGATTGCACCCTTCACTTGTTCAGACCCTCCCTGGGCACTGACCCTCTCTGCTAGTTCCCGCCTGCACTTCTGCTTGACTGCTGGTGGGATTCTCTCAGTTCACTGAAACATGGCATGTCTGTGCCCCCTGTCCTCAGGAAAACTCTCCCACCTTTATCCAGTCTGGCATGAGCTATTGTAAAGTTCCGCAGGGGTGGGTTCACTCTTCTCTTAACCAGATTCCCAGTGCCAGCTGTTCTCTTGAGGGCACAGATGGGGAGGTTGAGGCTGGAGGTATCCCCTACCAGGTTGCCAGCCGGCCAGACTTGGGGACAGTTTCCCCAGCAGCAAGTGGCCTTGAGGATGTGGGTGACTGGAGGGGCGTGCATGATCAGTGGTCCTGACTGGATGGGCATTTGTCCCAGGAAGACAGTGTGTGGCCTGAGTGAGTGCAGGGGAGGCCAACTTCCCAAGGTATTGCCATGGCAGCCGACCCAGCACCCCTCAGTCAGGAAGAGTTCGTGATCATCAGGATGGAGGAAGATGAGGCTGCCCCATGGGATCCTGAACCCCTCTCCAATCCTCAGCCCTCAACCCTGCTGCCCAGACTCTGTAGGGACCCCCGGCAGCGCTTCTGCAGCTTCCACTATGAAGAGGCAGCAGGGCCCCAAGAGGCCCTAGCCAGGCTACAAGAGCTGTGCAGCCAGTGGCTGAGGCCCGAAGCACACCCCAAGGAGCAGATGATGGACCTGTTAGTGCTGGAGCAGTTCCTGGGTGTGTTGCCACCTGACACCCTGGTCTGGGTGGAGTCCCAGTGCCCTGAGAGTGGTGAGGAGGCTGTGGTGCTGGTGGAGGACCTTGCTCAGATGATGCAGGAGACTGGTGAGCCACAGGGGCCCAGGGGCTGGTTGGGATTCCTGGGGGCTGGGGAATGCAGAAGGGGACACAACCCATGACCGTGGCCCAGTGTTCTCATTGCTGGGAATAAGACTCAGAAGCTGGACCATGTTCGGAGCATTTTCTAGCCTGTGAGCTCCCCAGAGATGTGAGCTCGACATCGGCATGACATTTCACCCTCTCAGGGTGTGCTGGGCCTCCTTTCTCTTCCTTTTTTACTTTCTCACAAGATCACTGAATGCATGCCGTGTTCCAGGCCATATAAGTCAAGCAGGGAAAGGAACAAGCAAGGTTTCTGCCCTACTGGAGCTTAGTCTGTTTGGAGACTTGGATAGTGAGACCACCAGTCACGATTAGGGTGTCCTCCTTTCTCTGGAGGGGGTGGGGGCACAAGGAGGTGAGCACAGAGGTTGGCCTGGCCAGGGATGGCTTGCATTTCCTGCCATGTGACATCTTCACCTTAGGCCACATGTGTGCCTATGTGCCCGTGAGGAGGGGATAACCATGAAATGGGAAGGAGAGATGGTTGGTTAGGATGCCATCATTCATCCTGGCATTTGTTCATGTGTTTGCTCACACATACCTATGCAGTGCCTTCTGCTTTCTTGGTTCTCTGTATCAAGAAGTAGAAACCATAGCGATTAAAAACAAAACCAGCTTTACTAAGTTATAGTTTACATACCAAAAAAATATACAGTCCCTGGGTTTAGTATAGTATATTTACAGGATTGTACAACCATCACTGTTGCCTAATAACATAACTTAAACATCAAAGAAACTCTGTGCCCATTCGGAGTCACTCTCCGTTCTTCTCCTCCTAACGCCCTGGCAGCCATAAAAAAGAGATAATTACGTACCACAACATAGGTGAACACTGAAAACATGACACTCGTGAAAGAAGCAAGTCATAAAAAGCCACATACTGCATGATTCTCTTTAATGAAATGTCCAGAATAAGCAAACCCACAGAGACACAAAGATTTTAATTTATTTACCTAGCAGTGGAATTGCTGGGTCATACGGTGAGGCTGTTTGACCTTTTCAGGAATGGTAACATACCACTTGTTTTAATGGAGGGAATTTTTTTTTTTTTTTAAAGATTTTATTTATTTATTTGACAGAGAGAGCGACAGCGAGAGAGGGAACACAAGCAGGGGGAACGGGAGAGGGAGAAGCAGGCTTCCCGCGGAGCAGGGAGCCCGATGCGGGGCTCGATCCCAGGACCCTGGGATCATGACCTGAGCCAAAGGCAGATACTTAACGACTGAGCCATCCAGGTGCCCCTTAACACACCATTTGTTTTAACAGAGGGAATTTTTTTATTTTATTTTTTTTTAAAGATTTTATTTATTTATTTATTTGACAGAGAGAGAGAGATAGAGCAGGAACACAAGCAGGGGGAGTAGGAGAGGGAGAAGCAGGCTTCCTGCTGAGCAGGGAGCCCGATGCGGGGCTCGATCCCAGGACTCTGGGATCATGACCCAAGCCGAAGGCAGATGCTTAATGACTGAGCCACCCAGGTGCCCCTAACAGGGAATTTTAATGTAAATCATTTAACCAGTTATTGAAGGAGGAGAAAAGTATAGAAAGAATTGTAAGGTGTCATGGCAGTAAGGACTGCAAGGAATAGTATCTACTCCTAGGGCTATGGGAACAAAGGGAAGAGATTGGAATTAAGACAATTAGAAACTGAGGAGGGCATGAGGCCCAGACCCCTGAGGAGAGGCCACTGCTGGATGGTGCTGGCGTGTCTGAGGGGGACATGATGAATCTGGTTCTGCATATGTTGGAAAAGCTGCAGACTGGATTCAGTTACTGCTAAGGAAGACCTTGATAATGCATGACTGTTTTCGCCTAGGCATGAACGTGAGGTGCAGGTGAGGCATTTTGGAGGCATGTGTCTGTAGTCTTTGTGGGGTGTTTGGTGGTACTACTGTGCTCTTTTCTAAGCTTGCTGCCAGTGTTTTGAGGCGGGCTGTCTCTTGACCAACATCCAATGTTTGCCTCCTCCTTTGAGGTCTGTCTTTTAGTTCTAGTTCTCAGCTTCCTGCTGAATGGATGCTTAGGTGATGCACACTCTAAAGAGAGTGTGCAGGGCACCTGGCTGGCTCAGTCGGAAGAGCATGTGACTTTTGATCTCGGGGTCATGAGTTCGAGCTCCATGTTGGCTGTAGAGATTACTAAAAAAAGAAATAAACTTAAAAAAAAAAAAAGGCGATTTTGCAATGACATTGTGGATGTTGGAACAGCGGCCTACGGGTTACCGAATGGACTCAGGCCTGGTACTCATGTGATTCTTGTGGGGTGTGTCTGGTTCTGTCCATCCATCCTTGAAATCACATGGTTTCAAGTTTGCCACAGTTCACATGTACGTGAACACTCCTCCCTTTGCTCCGTGCCCTTACCTGACCTTGTCCTGTTGCTGGTCCCTCCAGTGGCCCCACGTGAGAGAGGGTAGAGGGTCTGGCCCTTACTTTCTCTGTGTGGCCTCAGAGATGATTGCTGTGATTCTGTCCGGAAGTTCAGAAGCCAGATGTCTCAAACTTTTTCCTTGGCTGTCAATGTCAAGGTGTGTGTGGCGGTCCCCAAGACCACCCTTAGTCTTAATGATTTGCTGAAAGGAGTCACAGAATTCAACAAGGCTGTTATACTCATGATTATAGTTGATTACAGTGAAAAGATACATATTAAAATCAGCAATGGAAAAAGGTGCATAGTCTGGGAGATAGTGGCCATGAGCTTCCACATGTCCTTTCCCAGGGTAGTCATGTGGACACTGCTTAATTCTCATAGCAGTGATACATGACAGTGCAGCAATCAGGGATGCTTTCCTGAGCTTTGGTGGGCAGGGTTTCTAGTGAGGGTCAGTCACATAAGCATGGAGCATACTGACTTTAGTTACTCAATCTCAACTCCTCCCAGAGGTCAGATTGGTACAGTGTGGCCCAGGGTCACCACTATAACTCACATTGTTAGCATGAACTATCTGGTTTGGCCCAAGTCCTTAGGTAAACAAAGACAGCTTTAACAGGCAGAATATTCCAAGGGCTTAGAGGTTACCTCTTAGGAGCATGTCAAGGGCCAAACTTTTGGAACCTGCAGGGTTTGGACAACCCAGGGCTGCTGAGTCAGCCCTTTACTGAATATCTGGCTGCAGCCAAAGGAAGGTTCTCACCACCTTTCCTTGGAGGGTCACTTCAGCAGCTGTGCCCAGCCTCTTCCCACCTCCCTTCACCCTCAGATTTGGCCCAGGAGCCTGCCTGCAGCTTCCTTCAGCTCCTGGTTTTGAGGGTGGGGTATCCCCAGGCTTGCACTGTCTGAATAGTAGACTAGGTGCTTGTCCTGAGGTCTCGGGACCCCAGTGCCCAAATCCAAAGGCACAGGGGTGAGACTGGGGCACAGATGGGGTTGCCTGGTCTTGGCTTCTTTTGGGTGTGGCTAAACATTGCTGTCAGGAAAGCCCAAAACTAGGTTTTTATTCTTGGCACCAGTTCACAATTTAAAACAGCATTTGGTAGGCCCAGAGGACACAACTGTGGGCAGGACTGACCACACTGGCCTGTAATGGGGGCTGGAATACCTCTCCTCTGTCTGGGGTGCCTTGGCTGTGCCCCCTGGGCTGGCTTTGATCTTGGCTTTGCTTCTTTCAGGCCCCCACGCCAGCAGGCTCCTCTTCCCCATCTTACTGGCCACTTCTCCAAAGTGAGTTTTCTGTTATTAATTTAGTCATAGTTTCTGTTGCACAGAGATAGAAAGTAATATGCTGATCAGTATCAGTTTATCCTCCCATTATGTTTTAAATCTAAGAATGTAATATATGTGTATTATAAAGTCATTCAGATTTTAACAAAAGTATGTAAATTTCAAGCCTCACAGCTAGTCTGCCTCTTTGGAGATGGCCATTGTTAGCCTTTGTGTGTCCTTTCTCCCTTGTTTTATATGTGCATATGCAGCACACACACGTGTGTCTGTATGTGTGTGGGTATATAGACACTTCCAAAGAGAGCCCATTTATGCTCTGCACCTGCTGTTTCACTTCATCTCTTATTGGCCCTTCCAGTGTCACAAGCCGCTCAACCCTTTCCTTTTAGTGCCTCTTTAGGAGTCATTTGTCTTGCCCATCTCAGAACACACACCCCTGTCCTAGCTGTCACCCCTCTTCACCTCCTCTTGCCCTCTTGGCCTGCCGATCCTCTAGATCAGCCCAGCCTTCAGCACATGGATGTCCCTGGAGCCCCTGCTTTGGTGCTGAGCACTGTGGAGGGCTGTCTCACCTTCAGTCCTCATGGCAGCCTAGTGTGGCTGTCTCTTTTGGGCAGGGAAGGGAACCGAGGTGTTTTGTGGCAAACAGTTGGCCTCCCATTCCTTGGTCAGGCTTACCTTGATGTGGGGAGGGCTTTTGGTCCTTGGGCATTATATAGCCTCCCCAGGGATGGCTCTCCCCCATGAGATAGGGGCCAAAGCTTGCCTCTGTGTCACAGGATGCTTCACTGTGAAACTCCAGTCACAAATCAATAGTACAGAGTTGAGCTCTGAGAGATGCTGTTCCTGAAAGAAACAGGGTGCATGGTCTTCCATTGTTGTGGAAGGATACAGGGGAAGTGGGTTTCCCTGGCTGCCTCTAGGCCCCTTGCCTGGTTCTGCAGTAGCCTGTCTGCATTTTTTTACCATGTCCATGTACAGTTGACCCTTAAATAGCATGGGCTTGAACTGCATGAGTCCACTTGTACGTGGATTTTTTTTTTAAAGATTTTATTTATTTGAGAGAGAGAGTGACAGAGAGAGCACACAAGCAGGGTCAGAGGGAGAGGGAGAAGCAGACTCCTCACTTAGCAGGGAGCCTGATGTGGGGCTCCATCCTGGGATCCCGGGATCATGACCTGAGGGGAAGGCAGACACTTAACTGACTGAGCCATCCAGGCACCCTAGATTTTTTTTCTTTTTTAAAGATTTCATTTATTTATTTGACAGAGACACAGCGAGAGAGGGAACACAAGCAGGGGGAGTGGGAGAGGGAGAAGCAGGCTTCCCGCAGAGCGAGGAGCCCGATGCGGGACTCGATCTCAGGACCCTGGGATCATGACCTGAGCCGAAGGCATACGCTGAACGACTGAGCCACCCA